TTGTTGTTGTTGTTGTTTTAATGTAGAAATAACTTTACATGAATGTGTCTGAAATTCTGCAAGTGGCTTAACAATCACTATAATGGGTCTGGATTTTATTGGCTCAGATCCAGGGCTGCAAAAATATAGCTTAAAATTTTCCACTACTGAACTTCATTTCTATCTCAAGCCCTCCTTTTGGCTGGTGTAATAAGAGAAAACCTCAGTTGAATTCAGTGATTTCTCACATCATTTCAAATTTAAAACTTTGGATTTCTTCTTTCTTCTCCCTGGGGTTGTTGCAAAGCTCCAAGGATAATACAAGTTCAGTGTCAGTAGAAGAGGGACAACAACAGCTTCTTGATCTCGATCTGTATTGGTCTTAAGCTGGTCTCCTGCTCAAAGTTACTTCCTTTCTCTACGTTTTGAGATCTTTTCCCCCCTTCCTTCTTCCCACCCTTCCTTCCCCTTCCTTTTTTACACTTTGAAGGTTTTCTGAGGAATGAAATGGAAATACATATATACCGTCAAATGTTCAGCCTCTAAACAAAAACAACTCCTAGGTACCCCAAATTCATATTTCCCTGAGAATTTGAACTCCTCAAAATTGCCACTGCCAAGGACATCATTGTGAAAGTAGAGGATGCTGAATACCGTCTTCCATGAAATTAGTGGGCACTAAACAATTCCAGCACTTCTTGGTCTTTCTTGCCTGCCCTGTACCCTCTATGGATGAAGGCTGTTCCTCTCCGTTCTCCTCTGTTATCCATCATTCCCTCTGGACTGTGAGCCAGGTGTAGGGGAGAAGAGGTGAAGGGAGACACGAGGAAACTTTGGTGGTGAAGAGAGTCTTCAATCCTATCACCTTCCAAACTCGCAATCCAATGAGATGTGGTGGTGTCTTCACCCAGTCCCCATCAGTACTGCCAGTGCTGCATCTTTGTATATCCAGTAGCTCTTTTCGTGCAAGCCAACTTTGACATCTTACTTATGGTAATATGGGGATATTTTGGAAGGTCTTCCATACCACTTTGGAGCCATGGAAAGCTCCAGATGCTCCCTGTGACCCTCTCATGCCTAATATCACACATTGTAGCTATTTGTGGCTATGTCACCATAATAACATAGGGGCTTCTCCCATGAAGCTCATCATCTCCATAGAACTTATATGGGAATGATGCATAGCTCTCTTTTCTTGAATCCCCGAAGTTTGAGAAAGATGATCTATCTTTTGCCCCTGAAATTTGGCCAACTCTCCCTTCCCTCCCTAGTTGACATCATCTTTATTCCTATCTGAGAGTAGACATGGAGGAGGTAAAGCAACAGTGACTGGCAATATTTATTTCCTATATTTTTGTCTTTTACTCAGACCTGTGACACTGGGCCATTGAGAAGACCTTCAAGATACATATATAAATGAGTTATAGAAGAAAGAAACCACTCTATTCATATATCCTTAATTTTCTTCCTTTAGCCTGACTGCCTACTTTGGTCTACTTGAAATCTGTGGTGTGAAGGGTGGAGAAACAGTGATGGTTAATGCAGCAGCTGGAGCTGTGGGCTCTGTTGTGGGGCAGATTGCAAAGCTCAAAGTAAGTGCCTTTCTCCAGTAACAAGCCTCTATTCTAAGTCCACTGGGAATGCAACAGTGAACACAGCAGATCTTCCTTGGCCTCAGGGAATTTATAGTGCAGTGGTCTTCTTTAGAAGTTAGAGATTGAGAAATTGGAAGAATGGGGAAAACTAGACCAAAGATAAGCTGAACATTGTTATTTGATAACATTGCAGACAATCAAGTCAGAAATGGCCTCTGTCTAGAGTAGTGAGTTTATCAGCATTAATCATTTTCATATTTTCTACTGAACATTCTATCGCTACAGCTTAATCTTCTTTCTTCATGATTGTCCTCAGCAACAGAAGAAGGGACTTGAGATCAGCCAACTTAGAGTCATCACCCACGTGGCCCCACTGCAAAGGCTGTTGTACTAGAAAGAAATGGGCATTCAGCCCAGAGCAGTGGGGCCATGGCTTGGGAACTAACTCCTGACAGTACCTAGGACAAGGAAACATTGGTTCTAATTTAGGCAGCTGTCTGCTCAAGGGATCCAATCTGATGGTGAGTGTATAGAGTAGGCGACAACTCAGACACAGTAGGGATTTGTTATTACATAGTGGGAAGGCGATGCGGCTTGACTGATCCTTTGCCCAAGGCTGGGATGCAGGATTCAGGACCTAGGTCCTAGGGGACAAGTTAGATGGAGTACAGATGAGTACAGGGCTACAACCAACGGCTAAGGTTTTGGACTGGTCTCCAGTGCTAATGGGAGCTTGGAATACAAATATGAGGCTACCATAGAAGTTGTAGAATAATTTGTTTAAGTAAGTAACTAAATAGGAATAGATATTAAATTTTATCAAGTGCCATTGCAACATTTATCAGGTTTACATTTCCGTGAATGAATTACATTAGTTTTCCAATGTCAAACCATTCTCACATTTCCAGAAGAAGCTTTACCTGTGTATGCTATATTATGGGCTTATACCTTTGGAATTTACTTGATAACATTTAAAATAGAAATTTTGCATCTATATTCACAAGTGAATTTGGTTTAAAGTTTACTTTTTCTTCTGGAATTTAGCTAGGCTTGGATTATGCTAAAATTACAAAATGAATTAGGATTATTTCTAAATATTCCTATTTCAAATATCCTATTAAAACCTTACGGGGCTTTTATCTCTTAAGTTTGAAAGGACTTGCGCTTAAACCTATTCTTTTATATTCAACCTTTCTGTCCATTTTATGTGTGTTTCTGTAAAATGCAGCTATTTGCATTTAATTCTTAGCCCATCTGAAAGTCTCAGTGTTGTAATAGTTAAATTTAAGCCATTCATATTAATAGTCATAACTGGAATGTTTGGTCATATTTATATTATCTTACTTTGTTTTCTATTTATTGGTTATTTCTTTCTGTGTTATTTTCTTTGTTCTTTTTCCTCTAATTACTGAGAATCTAAGTTTTATTACATTCTGCTAGTGTTTACCTTTTTACCAATTATTTAAAATCTGTTTTATTTGTATCCTGCTTCTCTTCATATACATATTTTACATACAAAAAATAAACATATATACAATATATGTATATGAACTTCTAACAGTATATTTTTCCCCATATTATACCCCTACATCCTAGATTTTTATTCAATAATCTAATAAATAGTAAAAATCTCATATTATTATGAAAACCTTTTGGTTATGACATCTGAAAATGCCTTTTAATTTGAATGCATATAGAATTCAAAGGACCTGCCATGTGCAGTGGTGTCTGCCTATAATCCCATCTTTTCAGAATTCTGGCTGAGGCAAGAGGATCTCTTAAGCTCAGGAGTTCAAGACCAGTCTGGACAATGTTGTGAGACCTTGTCTCTAAATTTGAAAAAAAAAAAAATTCAAAGTACCCAATCTCTTACCCTCAAAGCTCTATAAAATTACTCTACTTTTTCTATTTCTATTTAGTGTTGCAGATGAGACATTCAAAGCCAATCTGATTCTCTTTCCTTTGTAGGTAATTAGACTTTTCTTTTAGGTGCTGATAAGTATTTCTTGTTTTTCTTTGAATTTAGAAATATCAGCAGGAAATGTCTTTATCTGTCTTTGTTTAATCCTACCTGGAACTTAGTTAGCCTTTATAATCTGAAGGTCAACGTTTTCCTTCAGATGAAGAACAGTTTTCTTCTTCTATTTAATTATTTTTTTCATCTATTCTGTTTTCTTCATGAGGAATGGTATATATTCATTCTGTTTCCTTTAGGACTATTCCTGTATTCTATCTTTGCTCTCATCATTACATCTTTTGTACTTTTTGCTCTGAATTCTGTACTTTCTTAATCTGGTCCTCCAATTGAATTACATGACTTTCAGCAGCATCGGTTTCTAGATTA